TATTAATTCCTATCATTTTGCTTTGAAATTCTGTATCGTTTTTGTTGTTTATGTGTTGTTCTGTTTTTGTTGAGGGTACGTTTACTTTAATACCCACTGAGGCAAGGTTAACGTTGCCACCAGGCTGAAACAAACCTCTGTCAGGCATACCTCTTAAGCAGTGTCCCAACTAACTAGTTATCTACCAGCCTCAGTTTAAATCCCCCAAAGACAGGGAACTCATTAAATACTAAGGTAGCTGGTTCCATTTTTGCGAATTCTACTTGTTAGAGAAAATTCTTTTAATGTTGGTAATTTATTTACCTTTCAAATGTATCTACCCATTACTACTCTGTCATTGTCATCTACCACCCCTCCGTCTTATCATTTTACCATATTAAACCTGCAAATACAGTAATAGAATCTTTGCTACATGTCTAGCTTGAGTCCCAACTAATTCCATTCATTTGAGAGGAGTAATTCTTGGTGAAGTCACTTGGTGATAACTGTCTTGTCTAAATATTTGACGTTTGGCAGTTGACTGTAGAATTCTGTCAGAAGTCAGTGCCTAGTCCATTGGCTTATGGTGTTCAGGCTCCACTTCCCTTTGCCCAGCTAGGGAAGTCTTGAATCGTCCAGCATTTCTCAAACATGATGGACAGTGATTCTGTTAGGATTTGTTAGTTACCTGAGCATTATAGAATGTGACCGTGCTGGGAGATGTGATTCCATTTCATTCATTTGACTCAGTCACCTGTTCTGGGCTTCAGCTTTTTTCTGTTTGTTCCACCTTTAAAGACAATGCACATGAGAAGGGAATAGTCCTGTGTCTGCTCGCAGATCAGCTTAGTACATTTTGCTTTAAGCCATGTTCAATTGATTATGAATGTCTTCCGGGTAGGAACTGTATTTTGTCTTTCCCAGAATTCAGTAAAATCTGATTGAATTTTCTATAGTTTTACCCTAATGTTTCCAGCCCTCCTTCCTCTTCCTCTTCTTCCCCTTCCTCTTTTTCTTTTCCTTCTCCTCCTCTCTCCACACATTCATTTCTTTTTTAATGTTGTTGGGGGTGGAATCCAAGGCCTCGTGCCCACTAGGCAAGCACTCTATCCCTGACTTGTTTTCTTAGCACTTTTCCTGATTTGTTCTCACTCAGTTTCTTAGTATTTTAGGAAATATTTTTTTTAATGGTTTTTATCACTTTTCATAAACTTCAACTTCTTTACCACTTAAGACCTCCTGTTAGTGTTCTGTAAGTTTAATTTTGAGTTTATCACAAGAGATGTTTGGGTTTTGTTACCTTTTTTTCTTCTTTGTGATATCACCTCTTCGCCCCCACGAATGAACCCAGGACCTTCACACTGAGATACATCACTATTCATTTTATTTTTCAATTTTGACATAGAGTCTCACTAGGTTTCCCAGGCTGGGCTCAAATTTGCAGTCCTCTTGCCTTAGCCTGCAGAGTGCTGGTATTACGGGCATGCAGCACCTTGCCGGGCTTGTGTGTGTCTTTTAAACACCTAATTCAAGGGTGTAGCTCAGTCATAGAGCACGTGCTTAACATAGGCAGGGTCCTGGGTTTGATCCTCAAGACTACAAAAAATTTTTAAAAATTTAATTTGAAATGATTTTTAAGAATTCAACTGCTAGAAGGATAGAGTCCATCTAATTTGAATCTATATTTTAAAAGCAATGAAATTGAAGTCCAGAGAGGCTAAGGGAATTGCCTAATTTACATCTTAACCGTGATTTTGGCAAGGTTTCATAGAAAGTAAGTCAGTGTCCATCAGAACCAAGTTACTGATTGCCAGGTCCGTGCCCTTTCGTGGTGCTGTTTGAATTCATCACGAATACCTATGTGGTCTCTTCTCATTCTTTGGCTCTCTTCCTCCTGTTAGTGATTATTTGCAAGGATCTCATGAGAAGTTGTTCCTTGGGAATATACTGCCTTTAAATGTCTCTGGTCAGCAGACCTTTTGCTTCCAAATGGGCTCCATCCAGTCCCTCTAGCACTGCCTTCCTTCTGATCATGTTTAAATGTGGCTTGAAGTCAATAGCCAGCATTCATTATAACCCACTGTTACTTTGCTCACTATTTAAGCTTCACATGAAAAAGAAAAGGCGTTTTTCTCTCATCTTTCTAAGGATCACATTAGTTCTCTCCATCTCTATCTTGAAGAGAACTCTTACCAAAACAATTTTTTAACAGTTGGCCATGGTGGCACAGATTTGTATACTCAGCTACTCATGAGGCTGAGGCAGGAGGATCCCAAGGCCAACCTGGGCAACTAAGTGAGATCCTATCTCAAAACAACAAATGAATGAATGAATGAATGAATAGGGCTGGAGATACAATTTAGTGGTAGAGCACTTGCTTGGCTTGTGTGAGGTCCTGGGTTCAGTCCTTAGTACCTCAAAAATTTTTTTGTGTGCATAAATTTTTGGCAGATAGGCTAAAATGCCACAGGCAACACTGGCTGCAGTTAAATACACAAAGTGTCTGTAGTATACTGTGATTACTTGCCTATCCTCTTTCCCCTTTTCTCTTAATTCAGGTATTCCCTGTTCTTGTACACTTTGCTTCATACTTTTATATTTGAGTTTAAAGTATGTATATACTTGTGTCTACTATCTTTCCCTTCACTTCACTTCCCTACACTTGTGACTGGTTTGAGGAACTGTGTTTGTGTGCTTCATATTTACTTTTACATATGTACTTTTTTGTGCTAGGGTTTCAGATGCTACCCGTACATTTTATTTTGGTTTAGAACTGTAGAAATCCCTAAGGAGTGTACTTGATGATTTCCTCTCCTTCCTTTTCTTATTATGCAGGCTTTCCTGCAAAGGCTTCAGTATTTGCTTCTTCCCATATCTTACGGTCTTCTCCGACCATCGGTTTGGTAGGGTTCCCTGAGCTTTTTTATTTTGTCTGCGAATTGAGTTTAAAATTTTGTTTTTCAGAGGGCAAGTCTACTACACATTGAATTCCTTGGTCTTTGTTAAGTTGTGGTCAGCCCATTATTCTAATGCCTGGGCTATCATCCAAGAAAACAGGAGCCGCCATATAGCAAACTCCTCCCAAATCAGTCATCTCATAGAAGAGAGATGGACATGCCACCTTTCTTTGTTTTTACACTTCCTGCTATATGTTTTCAGAGATCTCCTCTAGAATCCATTCATTCTCTGAGAAATCAACGACAGTAGAAGCAGTTTCTAGGGCTAAGTCTTAGCAGGTTCTGCCATGTATTGAATGTCCTTAACAAACACCACACATCCTTCATGTGACTGTGTGAGCTCTGCATTGTCTTCATGCGCTGCATGCAGGGTACTCGAACTACCAGATCGTATCACCTCCTTCTGGACATAATCACAGAGCTCTTTCAATCTGCTGGATCCTGTGATTTCTCTGTGTTTCTGTGGAACATATTCTTATTTAGCATGTATTCTAGAACGATAGTGTTCAGTGACAGGTAGACTAGACCAAGCACACCTGGAGCTGGAAGCTTAATCAGTGACAGGTGAGTCAGATTGGTTAGAACAGTGGTGGTGAACCTATGTCACGCGTGCTGCAGTAGACTATTTATATCATTATAAGCTCTAAAGAGTTCACCATCCCTGGCCTAGGATATCACCAAGCAGGTGATAAGTCCAAGTCGAGTCAGCCAGGTAGAACAGTTTGTCTAGAGTGAATAAGAAATAGAAGGTAGTTAAGACAACCAGCTCTTACAACAAGGGATAGTGGTTCAGTATATAGAATTGGGATTTTGAAAATGAATGGGAATTCCTAGGCTTTCAGCCATGTAGCCAGCATTCAGAGTCCAGAAGCAGACCTGTGGGAGTATAGGTGAGAAGAAGCAAGTATGTACATGATCTCACTTACTTGATTTGGGAATTAAGAGGAAAGCAGAACCAGTAACAGGACTGACTTCATGCCAAGGCATCCAAGCTATTTGCTGAAATTCCTTTATCCACAAGGTTCAAAGACAACCTGGCACAAGCCTAGGATTGTGTGTGCTGGTGTGAGTGTAATGATTCCAATTTAGATAATTAAGAGGTAGCAGAGACTGAAGTGTCCTTGCTGTTGCTCCACGGACAGAGCTTATAAAGTTCCTTTGATAGAGGTGCTTTTGCTTCTTTACTCTTGTAATCTGTTCACATTTTAAGATCATTTTAACTGTATCTTATCACTTAAGCCCCTCAGCCCATTGGACTTATTTCCGGGGCTCTTTTTGCTCCCTCATCAAAGAAAGCTTTTAGTAAATCATAGGATGAGCTTTTCTTGGTCTTGTTCCCCATTCCTCTAGTATCAGGAAGGCATTCTACATATACTAAATATATTTGATGCTACTTTCTGGTAAGAAAAAACAGAGTAGAAGCCTAGTTAATAGTAAAGGTTTCTGTACTGTTTGTAATTTTTTATCTCTGTATGAATCAACATGTTTTCCTAGCCATTCCTGTTAACACTAAGGCTGAAGTGTTCCTGGAGAACAGTACTTTTTTAGAAGGACTGTCTTTCAAATACCTTGTCCCATTTTTTTCTCTATTTTTTTTTTGTACCGGGAATCAAGCTCATGACTTTACACTTGCCCAGCAGGTGCTGAGCCACTGAGCTAAATCCCTGGCCCAAACTATTCTTATTTTTAAATTAATGAACGTACCTAGAAGAATCTCTGCTATAAGCTCCCCCCTTTTTCTGTACCAGGAATCGAACTCAGAACCTTGCACTTGCCAGGCAGGTGCTTGTGCCACTGAGCTACATCTCCGGCCCAAGCCCTTTCTTTTTTTTTTTACACTAAAAGTAATGGGCTATACCTAGAGGGTAACATGGAGTATAATCCGAAACTTACCCAAACCTGTAGTGCCCTGTTCAGGCAAACTCTTCAGAATATACCAGGTTTAAGAAACACAACGTTTCATCCATATTATTTATATTTTCTTGAACCAGTCTATGAATTTATGTATTCACATGAGTTTACTATTTTTTTTCTTCCTTACTTGCTTTTTCCACGTATCTCTAGGGTTGCAGTCGTTTCCAAATCTTTTGAAGGGAAAACTGATCACACGGAAGAGTGGTATGGAACCCAGTACAAACAAGAAGCTATACCAGATGAAGTCATTAAGGTAGGTAAACTCATCTGTTCATAAGCCTGCTGTGTGAGGAACCACAAGGACACGAGCTCCCTAGAACTACCAGTTCAGGGCCAGGAGTTTCGAGAGTGATGGCTTAGTGTCAACTGTACCATCCTGAGAGGAGCGACAGGAGCTGGAGGACTGGTGTTCAGGTTTTTCCCTTAAGAAATGGCCCTCTGGCAACCTTCTCATGTGTCTAACAAAGCACCAGGACTGTAATCGCCTCCTAACCTCGTGCAGTCAAACACATTGCAGTGCAGGGTAGACAGAGAAGCACGATTCCAGCCAAGAAAAGGTGAGCAAGTAGGAAGCGCCAAAGACGGCCGCGGGGCCTCCAGAGTGCGGGGAGTTCTCCGGGTTCACAGTGTCTAATTAATGTGTCTTAGGGAGCACTGTACTTTATGCCTCATAGCATTGGGGTTTTTGTCAACACAGGAGAATTATGATTTGTTTCAAAACAGGTGTATTTGCCACATTCATTTTATCACATTCATCAGTAGTCAAGATTTAGCTTTTGAGTTTCATCTGCTTTTCTTAATTCATTCATTCATTCATTCTTTCTTTCTTTCTTTTTCCTTCCTTCCATTCTTCCTCCTCCTTCTTTCCTTCCTTCCTTCCTTCCTTCCTTCTTTCCTTCCTTCCTTCCTTCCTTTTGGTTCTCTATGAGGAGTTCATTACTTAGGGGGAAATAGCAAAAACCAGACTGAATAAATTTTAGTTAAACTCAAATGGATAGTTTTAAAATGTACCTGTGTAATGACAATGCAGAAAAAAGAAATGATTTTTTGAGGGTATGGGGAATCGAACTCAGGACCTTGCACTTGCCAGGCAGGTGCTTGTGCCACTGAGCTGTATCCCCGGCCCAAAGAAATAATTTAAGAAAGGAGTCATTGCTTATACTTCAGAAGTCTCTGACATATTCACAGTATGAAAAGAGATCACTGAAGCCCTCTGGAGTATATACAAATCCATCTTTCTAAACTGAGGGACACTGATACTGGGTCTGAAATAATCCTAAAATGAAAGAGAACTTCCCTATTCACCAAACTAGGACCTTAACGAACTGGCCTTTAATGGGATGGATAGGGAGATAGATAGATAGATAGATAGATAGATAGATAGATAGATAGATAGATAGATCAATCCATCAGATAGACAGAGAGATGAGATAGATACAGAACTATAGATAAATATACATATATACTATATAGATAAAATTTTTTTTAGTGGTACTGTGATTCGAATCCAGAGCTTTGTGTATGCTGTTCAAGCACCTTAGCCCTGGACTGTACCCCCCCACACACCTTTTTTTGGACAGACTCTTGCTAAGTTGCCCAGGCTGGGATCAAACTTTCAAACCATCATGGCCAGCCTGAGGGGGAGGTTAAAAAAAAAAAATTATCTGAGAGTTGAGCGGTGAAATTATTTGCTATTTCCTACTCCTTACTATTCAACCATTCTGTAGACTTGAGCTGCAGCTTAAGTAATATGCCAGCAGTCTTTATCATCCCAGTGTCAAGTGACATACATACATGGACCAAAATAGAACTGTAAAATCTTGTTCAAGAGTGTGCCACGTCCACTGGAGAACAAATTATTGAATCCAGGGTTACTGTCAGTTACCCTTTTTGTTCGTTAGAAATAATAGAAATTATTGTAAACTAGGGTTCAACAATCAATGGCCTGTATTCTGTCCCACTTAGCTTTTGGAACCAGCCCATTGTGCCAGTCTAGACTGAAATCTCACTTTGTCCTTAACTTCATCTTGAATTACTGGTTCACATCAAAGTTCACATGGTCATCCGGGACAGATGTGGGCCAGGTCTTAAGAACTACTAAAGTGAAAGAAGACCCCTTTAGACTTTCAGGCCATACAGGGACGTAATGTAATATCATAGCTGAAAGTATAATTCTTACATAAATGACCTGTGGTCTTATCAGATGTGGCAATATATCCTTTTTTTTTTTTTTTTTTTTTTTCACATTTTTTTTTTTTAAATTTTAAAGATAAAAGGAGGGAAACATTAACAGACATACAACATTTTACAACATATCACAAGCACAAT